TGGATCAACAACAAGTGGAGTCAAGGTTTTTGCAAATGACAGTAATTTTTTAAAATTTCTATATTTTTTTTTCTTAAAATTTGACAAAGCAAAAGCACAGTGTGTATACATTAATTGTATGAGCACTAACATACATACATCAATGACTGCAACATATATTTAGTTTCATATTTTCATGTGTTAACAGTCATTTTTTGTTCTGTTTGTTTGTTTGTTTTGAAATAAGCCTTCAAACTAGTTAAAGAGTGTGTTTTAGCGTTTATTTGTTTTTATAATTTATCGAGGGGAATAACCCAAAAACATCACCAAAGTTTGCATATACACATACATACATATGTGTAAATAATGGCGGCTGCCAGCGACCATTGGCTTTTGAGACAGCTGAGCATTGATATCAATCGGATTCTTGGAAATAATATAAAATAAATAAATTAACACAAAATTAGTTTGTTTTTTTTTTTCGAAAACAATTGTTGGTTACTAAAAGAAGAAGATGAAGAAGTAACAAGATAAAATCAACAAAACGACAGTAAGCTTGACACGTTTGTATAAATTCAGCAAATATTCATCAAGGTGAAATTCGCAAAAACAAAAGATGTAATCGAAATCGTAAACACACACCAATACCAACGCAGAGCAACGAGATGGGAATTAAATTTAAGTGATTCTTGTATTTCAAATGAAATGTATACGCCTCAGCAAGCACATAAATACATATGTATATCAACATATATGTATATATATGCTTATGTATGTATATACATATTAGCTAAATGCTCTATAGTTATGTGTTTGTTTATATAATTTTGTACAGGTAAATAATACTAAAAGATAGTATCGTCTGTCATGCAATTAACGCCACGGCGCAATGCCTCAATTTCCATACACAAAAAATAATAAAAATAAAAAATATGAAGAAATATACAAAAAAATTATACTCACATCCAAATGTACATAAATATAAATATATGCATAATAAATAAAGTTATAAAACAATTTTCTGGTTGTTTTTGTTAAATTACTTTGCCGCCAGCTACCACATCATAAATCACTATTTTCATCTTACGACGCGAAAACTAGTTAGACGCTGTACATTTGCAGTTATATAAATATGCCTATTTACATATATACACGTTTATATATTGTATATAAAAAAAAGTTAGTAATTTATTGTGAAAAATATGGATTAGTCTAAATTCAAATAAATCTAAAATATTGTTCCCAATATTTGTAGAGAACACCATCAATTTACTGTAAAGGCTTTTGAAGCAAGTCATTAAGGCAACCAGATATTAAAAAAAAAAAGATATAAAACTATTTTTTATGAGAACCTAGTAAATTACAATTTATATAAATTATAAAGAGTAAAAGTACAAATTACAAGTTGTACTTAGGTTAGGCCAGCGATTTTCGGCTAAGCTTCTACCCCAATTCATTTGGAGGGGCTGCGACTTTCTGTTAAGCGGCAAATTAAAGTATTAATGCTATAAATTCCTGAACATGAGACTTCGCTATCAAACCGCTGCAGTCCACTGATGAACTTGATATAGACGATTAAGAAATAATTAGCATCTTCACCATTCCTTCTAACTTTGCTAGCGCAATGAGCACTTATCATGCCCTGGTTCGAAGTAGGATTGTATCATCTTACTCTTTCAGGATAATCAGTTTGGATGTACTTCGGTCGGTCAATCTTACTCAGTGTCACCGATCTCATGCCAACATTTACATAATTTTGTATTCATATGACACCCTAACCTGTAGAAGGGATTCTAGAGTTCTTCAGCATACGGCTAAGCGTGATGTTCACTTACCTTTGTTGATATCTATGCATTGGTCCCGCTACCGCTACTTCCATAAAAGTCAGATTTTGTGCATGTCGTGGCTTTTTCAGTGCTTTGCTCTTTCGGATATCCACCGCAATCGGTCTTCTTGCTTTTTTTTTTTTTTTTTCTGGTATATCCTGTTTGACGATCTTTAAATAAATGAAAACTAAATAAAAGAAAATTTAAAATCGAGCAAGAATCTTCAGAGCTAATGGAAATTAAGTCACAACAAGAAAACTGTTGTTTGTGCTTTTATATTGCCTTCATAGCATTTAGGTTCCGTGGTAAGTCTTTTATTTTTTATTAATTTATTAAGCATAAAATACTAGAGAAAATCGGTTTTAAACTCTTCTTTCCCTTTGCAATACTTGATACTCATCTATTGCTCAAAAGCTCACAAGTATATTTGCAAATTCAAAAGCTTTTCAACATTTCGAGCAGCAAGTGAAAAATTTTTTTTATATACATATTAAAATTTCCTTAAAAATTTCAACGATTTACAAAAGGAAATTGAGAAACGGAAAATTGGAAAAGCTCGATTGGAACATAATGTCAAAGCTTCATATTGGGTATTCTCAGGCAAAAGTCGACTGTTTTTAAGACAAAAACTAAATTTTTAAGTGTCAATCCTTGAGCAATCATTATTAGTAAATGTGTCTATATAGTATTGTATTGTATGATATATTATTCGTTAGTATATATGCACCTCTTGCGGTTTTGTGGATAATTAATTGCGAGTTTCAGTTAGAAATATATTTCTGGCTACTTCATTGTAAAAATTCATCCGAGAAACTTGAGCTCCTACTTGTTTCATTTCACACTTCTATATTCGTGAGTGCAAATAATATAGACATATAAATTTTTATACGATATATCACTCACTTGTGTATTTCATATGGTACATATATTTTTAAATTAAATAAAATTCATTTGCTTCTCATGCGACTAATTGAAATTTAAATACAAAATCGTGTATTGACAAGGAGAATTACCGAATAATAACTTTATTAACAATAATGTCGGTTGGATGTAGGAGTATGTACATATATATACATGCATGCAGCTCATATACGAATAAAGATGTGTTTTATGATAAAAACGTTTACAGAAAATAAATAAGTAATGTAGAAAAAGTAGAAAAATAAGGATAACATCTGAATTGTTTTTACGTTTGCGCTGGAAATTTTTTCTATTAGTTAAAGTAAAATTTTCGTTTTCATCGTTACAGTTTTAGACAAACGATTTTAAGCTTTAAGGGCGAAATATTGCTTGCGCTTTGCCGTTAATACCATAAATATAGTAATAAATATTTATTGTGCACTTTTATGATTTTCTCGTAAAATCTGTAAAATTAGTATCATCAAATTATATACGCTTCATCGGCGGGTAGTTTAAGGGATTTAAACACACGTTTTTGAAAGTCGAAGTTTATTATTGATTTTTTTATTAATTTTTTAGTACACAAACGTGGCCACGAAACTGACTACAGATTAATGAGTTTAAATTTGTGTATGGCTTATATTTAATAAAGGAAATGACTGCATGAATAAAATAAAATAATATAGAAAACTAAAATAAATGAAGATAAAACAAAATTAAGTAAATTAAAATTAAACCAAAAAATAAAAAAATTTTAAAAACAAGAGTTAAATCAAATTAAAAGTCGAAACAATAAAATAAAATAAGATAAAAAGATGAAAAAGAAAGAAAATAAATAAAATTAAATTAAACTAAGTTAAATAAAATTAAAATAAATTTGATCAAATAAAATTAAATAAAAAAGAGTAAAATAAAATAAAATGAAATTAAATTGAGTCAGATTCAGTGAAATAAAATAAATAAAAAGTTAAAATAAAATAAAAAAATTTAATATATTTAAAAATTTATATTAAATTAGATTAAGTTAAAATTAAATAAAATTAAATCTGATTAAGTTATTATAGAAAAATAAAATAAAACAAAATTAAAAAATTTAAATAAAAAAATTGTATTAAATTAAAGAAAATAAAATTAAATTAAAATAAAAAATTAAAACAAAATTAAATTAAGTTAAATCCAACTAAATTAAATTAAAAAATTAGTAAAAAAACTAAAATTGAATTAACTTAAATCTGATTAAGTTAAATAAAATAAAATTAAAAAAATAAAACAGAATAAAAAATTTAATTAAAATATATAAAATGAAGCAAAAAACAATATTTAAATTATATTAAAATAAAATTAGATCAAATTCAATTAAAATTAAATTAAATTAAATTTCGTTAAAAAAATTAAATTAACCAAAGTAAAATTAAATATTGTATAAAAAAAATCAAATAAAATAAAATAGACAATAGAAATAAAATAATAAAATTAATTAAGAAGAAAGAAATGAAGTTAAGTAAAATGAAGTAAAGTTAAATTAAATTAAAACCAACTATATCATAATTAAATTAAACTAGGTTAAATTAATTTTAAAACAATTAAATTAAATTTAAAAAAAAATTAATTAAATTAATTTAAGCGAAGTAAAATAAAATATAAGAAATAAAATGAGATAAAACAAAATAAATTATAAGAAATAAAATGAAATAAAACAAAGTAAAATGGAATGAAATAAAATAAAAACTTAAATTAAATTAAATTGGTTAAAGTTATTTAAATAAAATAGATCTAAGAAAACGAAAAAAAATAAAATAAAATAAATTAAAGCAAAATAAAATAAAATTAAATTAAGTTAACTTAAATAAGGTTAAGACTGAAATTGAAAGAAGTTTACAAACACTTACTGTTAGGCTTATATAATAGCAGATCCAGTAAATAAATGAATTCTGTATAAAAAAAAATGTTAACTTAAATAAAATAAAAATAAATCAAATATTAAAAGATATTACAAAAACTATAAAGATTAATTTTAAATGAAACAGCAAATGCACTTGCAGACTTTCCTTTCGAAAGAATGCATTTTTCGAATGGTTAAATTTATATAAAATATAAATGTTTCAAGATAATCAGTTATATTTTTTTTATTAGAAACATATATATTTATTATATATTTATACATTTGTACTCCATTTGTATGTATTTAATTATATCCGATGCCTATATAAATATTATAGTTTTATCTAAATTTTTTGTTTAATTTTGCAAACTAATATACTGACGAGTAAAAATGATTATTTCTTTTCGTTACAGAATTTCCATTTCAACAACAAATGTTAAACAAGTAAATATGTCAATTAAACAAATCGTGCTTTGAACGCCAAATGCAAATGAAAGGAAAAAATAATTTAATTGTTTAACTGAAGGGCCTATAGTGAAAATATTAAAAAAAAATATAAATAATAAAATTTGAAAAATTCTTAATATATTTTATTATACAAAAAATTTAGTGAAGTGAATTGAAGTGGGATAAAAAGGAGTAAAATTATTTTATATAACCTCATATTATGGGAATAGAAATAAAACCGTACATAGGCATTTAAAAATACAAATAATTTAAAATAAATCACAAATTTTTGTAATTTACGAAAATTGAAATATTTATGCAAAAGTCCTCTGAACTCGAAATTGCTACATAGAAAAGCATAATTTTCTAAAAGTGTGTGTGTGTTTATTTTCACCGCAGCAAAAAAAAAAAATTAAGCAATAAATGTCGAAAATCAGCGTAAATAAACGTGTACACCTAGTATTTGGAATATTAACAACAAAATATAAATTACACTAAAACCGTCAAAATACAATAAAGGAAAAATAATAAGCAAAACGCCAATAAAATCAAACAATAACATTTTTTAACTTTGTAACAACATTATTACATACAGATGGTGCATACGTAAAACGAACGTACATACATATACATGTATATACTCGTATGGAATATGCACATCAATGCACACGTACAACTGTTGGAATACTTGTAGTAATAAATAAATACAATAAAACAACCAAAAAGACCCGCATCGCAACGCAGACGTGACGGAATTTCGATAATGAGGCGTCAGTAAGCCAACGTCGCTGTGTCGGTCGGTAGTGCAACTCGCGTTCGAGACAAAAGTAGAAAATTCATTTTTCAACATAAATTTCGCATTGTAAACTGAGTGTGTGTGTGTGTGTGTGTACGTGTGTGTATGTGTGTCGTTGGACGTCACGTGAAGGGTGACAGGTGAACTGCTTGCCTGCCTATTCGGCATTGGCGGTATCGTCGACGCCAATTGCTTGCCATGCGACGAATATGGTTGACACAAGCCAACCATTAGCCCAACACCACACGCCATCAGCAAATCGAGTAGAGCTGTCACTTTAAAGTGTTTTTGATACTCGACGTTATTACGGTAAAATAGCAGCCAACATCATCACCACCGACGTTATCTACATATCAGCTTAGCCGGCGCCGATTACTTGAATTGCACTTCAGTAGCTTATTAACGCAGATCTCGTTTATGATAACTGCTGAGCCAATTAGTGCAAGCGTCTATCCACACCTAGCCTATAGCTGCTGCTTCTCTCTGCATTTACTTGTTAAAGTTCAAATATGACCGTTTCATATGCCGGTGAAGTGCCGAACGGTAGCAACTTTGGCTGTTTCTGGCGTATTCTGTGGAAGTGAGTATGGAAAATGTAAATTTTTTATTTAAAATATTTATTTTAATGTCTTTCTTTTAATGTCTGAGACTTTCTCGTTAGCTTGGCCACTCTGCGGTTGAAAAATCTTACATTTCAACTTGCACTTATGACTCATGCATTTCACAGTTAAACAAATAAATACGGCTGATTTCTTTCGAGTTTGTTGACAATTCTCACACACACACAACCATTTGATACACATACATGTGTATGTATGTATGTATGATAATTTTTTTTTTCATTTGCATAAGAATTCATTTGCGCTTCTAAGTATTTTCCGGGAAAATTGTGAAAACTCATGTTTGTGGCCGAGTTGGAAACAAGCAAAGTCAGTTGTAACCGCATGAATGAGTTGGAAACCCGCTTGTACCTTGAGTAAACTCAAGTGAAATAAAAGATAATAACTTGCAAATATAATTAAAATTCGCACAGTGAAATAATTTGTTATTTTTTCTATAAAAAAAAAGTCCATTATGGGATCTATATCTCTATTTAGGGTATACGGACTTGCTGTGGCGTTGACGAAACCTTAGAAAATGTTCCAATTTTCCTATACCATCATAACGTTTTTCATTTAATTGTCGGGTGTTCCGGCGCGTCTGCAGTTCACAGAACCAGAACTATCATAATTATTTTAAACTAAGAAATATTTTGAAGGTTAACTGGTATAAAGATATCACCTTTGATTTCATTATTTCTGGTGAGATTGAAACGAACTTTTAAAAATTTCTAAATCTGGTTTGAGCATGAAAATATTTTTCTCTATTATTTTTAGCGAGTTAACTATTTAAATGTAGCCACAAACGTGTTAAAACGCAATTTAAATGAACTGAAAAATGCACAGAAAATAAATTTGAAATTTTATTAGCGATATTTTCAATGGCACTTGGAAAGTTTACAATGTGAGAAGATATTTGTTATTTGTATTGCAGGGAAACAACGTCAATTAGACACGAAAGAATGTTAATTACTCACTTACAGTGAGAATATTAAGTTCTATTGTAGTGGGTTTGCAATGATATGAATGGAATACCCGATTTCTCACAACTCTACAGTAAGGTCGAGATATAATTAAATGAAAAAAATATTAAAAAATTAATAAACAGGATATAATAACATTAAATAAAACAAAATAAAATAAAAGAATATAGAAATTAAATAATCAAATCTAATGAAATTAAAGCAAATAAAATAAAAATATATGTACAAAAAATAAAATAATTTGAGATATATTAAATAAAATAACAAAAAAAACAAAAAATTAATATAGTAGACTAGGTGCATATCACAAGCGTTGATTCGGTGTGTTAAATGAATTTCTTTCAATACATGTCTCTGCTATCTCACGCTCAGTTACATGACGATCCAATTCGATTAATGCTTTGATTCGGTCATCATCAACTTCATTTGGCCGACCTGAACTTGGCTCATCTTTAAGTGAAAAATCTCCAGAACAGAATTTTCGAAACCAATTTTGACACTGTCTTCCTTTTAAGGCTTCATCATCATACACATCTCGTAACTTTTTAGCAACCTGCTCAGCGTTTTTTCCTTTATAATAAAATAAAAAACTTAATGGAAGCAATTAAATTTTAAAAAGTCGGAGAAAATTAAATAAAGTAATATAAAAAAAAAATTAAAAATTTAAGAACTGAAATAAAATGAATTATAATGAAAAATAATAAAAAAATAAAAAGAAAACAAAATCGAATAAAAGAGAGTAAAATAAATATTTTAAATTCAACAAAATCAAAAACAAAAGCAAGATAAAAATAATAAGAAATATTAAATTAAAATTAGGCCAAAAATTCAATTATTAAAGTTAATAAAAAAAATTATAAACGAAATTTATCAAAAATAATAAAAATAATTTATTGTAAACAAATAAAAGTTAAATTAAAAAATAAAAAAACGCATAATTAAAGTAAAATAAGAAAATTTAAAGTAAAACAATAAATGTAGTTAAATGAAATTGAGAATCATCGATATATAAAAGATCTCTTTTTAATTAAAAATTCAAACAATAAAAGAGTGTCGCCCTTAACAGGCCTATATCACTGTTACCGGTAAAGTAAATTTTGTTACTTTTTTTAACACCCAAAATTGAATTTGGTATTCTGGCGAACTGCTTACAATGTTTGAAAAAACTTGGGCAGCACTGCTTTTTTCCGTCCTTGTCAAATTACATTTGCCAGTTGCTTTAGTAAAAAAGAATAATATTCACATCGAAGTGGAAAACGGTGCACTTCAAAATAAATAAGTTTTATTTATGTTTTTATTAAATTATAAATATTTGAACCTAACTAAGGAAATTATGCCTGGACGACAAAAAAAGGCGAATGAAAACGCTAACTTACAAATTAAAAGCATAATTTTTTTCTCGAAAATTTCTTAAAATACCCCTTTTTCCACTTTTTTCTTCATCTTCAATGAATTCCAGGCCTAAAATATGCCTACCCATTGTGGGTTTTATTTTTTCTCAAACAAATCTCGAGCTCAAATCCTTGTGTCATATTAACATACAAAAAATTAAGTTAAAAAAATTACAATAGTTTAAAAAAAATCAGTCTAACTTTCGAATTGCGGTCGCCCCTAGGTAGGGAGTGTCAGCCTCGCCGAGTGTATTTTTGACATGAAATAAAGGCTCCTTAGTATAAACGGTAGGTACATTTGTTGGAAAAACAGCAAGACGCAAAACAACAAATTGGAGAAGAAGCTCGACCGAAAATCGCGAGAATCAGCGGTTACAAAGCGCCAATTATGTGCACATTAAATCTTTTCAGCTTCTTTTCATCATCAAGCTTCATTCACATAAGCCTAAATTATTTACTTTACCATAGAAATTTAATATGTAATAAAAGTGTAGTAATATTGGATAACAAAAAAAGAAATAAACTCATAAAGAAAGCTAATCAGATTATGAAATCGAAATTGATTACATTGAATAACAGAGTGCTCGGAGCGACAAAAAGATTTGTTACTTCGCCTAAAGCAAACAAAAATTAATTTAAATTTTTTTGTACTTAAGATATATTGTGTAAGTATACATTTTTTCTTTTACTATAACTCGCTCTAACGAAACTCTTTTCTAATGAAATCCGCCGACAAACTCGTTTTTTTTTTGGTTGATTTGAACTTAGACCCATTACGTATGGGCAAATAATTGGTAGTGAATAGGTTTTAGTGCCAATAAAAATCGAACAATTCGTGTTTTTCAGTTGAGCGATAATTACTCTTGGATTATTTTTTTTTTTTAATTTTTTTAATTTTGCTGACATTTACACTCAGTGAATTTTAAACACACTTTGTATAATATTTGCAAATCACATGCATCGGAACTGCAAATTTTTTATAATTTTTGCAAGGACGTATTATACATTCTGAATGACAAATATTCAAAAAAATAAAAAAATAAAAAAAATTAAATACACAAACGCTTTATAAGCAGAAAAGACGAACATGTACAGGCATAAGAATAATAATGCACAAAAATCGATCGATTTGATGACCATCATAACTGCAATCCCTGGATTCGAAATTAAAAACAATAATATGGCTATGCTTTACTATTTGTTTAACCGTAAGTTAAGCACGTAACATGCTGTGAAGAGGCAAGACTGTTGTAAAATAAAAACAAATAATGGCCACCATAATTGCTGGTGACATTCAATTATATTTATTGTGCTGCTTTTGAGCTAAACATGTGTTTATAGACGTGTAAATAAAATTAATGCAAACATTTTCTCGTTAAAAAGAATAACGGTAAATCGTTTTAATTTCAGCAAAACGATTTTCCAAAGTATTTTCGATGACAGTTCTGAAATATGAATGACAAAAAAATATTGTTTACCTAACTTATCTGAAATCAGATTTAATTATTAACATTTTTTTTTAATTTTCGAGAGCTTATGTTTAAAAAACTTAGTTAAAAATAAATATTTGTTTAGTTTCTGTTAACAAAATTTAGAGCTAAAATTTTTAAAATTTTTTTGAGGTCACTTTCGCTTACGAAAATCATTTTCCAACCACCTATATCCATTCCGGCTTTAGCCCAACCACTTTAGTACATACAAATACCTTATGTAAGGCTAACTCCTTATTTATCATTATTATTTACTTATATAAAAGCAATCACTTGTACGTGCTAATGAAAGCTGTTTACGCTTTATCTATTTAAATCATTTCAAGCATAAAGAGTCTAATAAGAACCCCATTGGCGTTGAAAATTTAATGGAAAAAAATCAAATAAAAATTTATTAACAAAATAAATAAATGGTGTAAAATGCATAAAAAATATATATGAATATGCAGGCATTCATAATAATTTTTTCTATTGTTTTGAACAAAAAAGTTTATCTCTTACATCCTTCTCTTTGCTGAGTCTAGTAAAATAGACAAAAGCTACTTCAGCGAAGTTTCTCACTTTTACTATTGATTTATTGTCCGCCTTCATTTTTTCTCACTTTCTTATAATTTTCGCAATTTCTTGTGGCCACCCTAAAGTGCATTATGCGTGACTTTGTTAGGCGCTTACATGTTTGCTAACTTGTTAAAACATTTTTGCAAAAACAATACTGATAGAACATACATATGCACATATATATATATATAATTTATGATAGCAATTATGATGCATATTTATATTATAATTTTCCGACGCATAAACGGCGCGTTGAACCTGTTTGGAAACATCAGTTATCTGACGTGCGAAGTCAAGTGCATGTCAAGCAATGCGTTGCTTAAGCGAAAAACAACAAGTTCAATCATACAAAAAACGAATAAAAATCTATTTTTACAGAAGTTAAATAATAAGTCTATTGTAGCAAGGAAGAAAGATATAAATAAAGAGAGTATAAAGTTTCGAAGCGTAAAAATTCTCATAAAACCATAATTCATTTCATTAATTTTCTACTTTTTTTGTTTACTTATATCTCTTTTTGTTTAATAAATATTTATTAATACTATCGGTAGGTAAGTAGGCCTAATAGCAGGCCCATTGCGTTAAAACGAAGTTTACCCGATTACTAAAATTCAGTCTATTTCTGAAATCAGTGAGTTCCTTTCTCCATTTCGTCCGGTCAAATAGTGGTTTGCCAAAACTCGCTTGATTTCATATTGCACCAGCTCGTCTAGATCAACAACAAGTCGCAGTGACAGTGCAACTTGATGTGAAGCACTGGCAGTTCTGTTTTGTCTAAACAAAATTAAGTTAAGCTTTTCCATGAATTTGGTATTGATGTAATCTGCACCCATTTTTGACTTTGAAGACACTGAAAGTAACAATTGGTCTTCAAGAGATCTCAAAAGTCGGGTGACGAGATTCTCTCACCTACTCTTCTTATAGCTTCGATCCTTTCGTACACTGACAATTTTCAAAAACTTTCGACAGGAGTGTCAAAGTGAGTGCCTCATTCTTCTCATTCAAAGCTAATCTCATCATGTAAGCAAAAACTCTAAGAGACAAACAGACTTTTGGTTGCCGAGAAGAAAGCCGTTGAACTTTCTCTACTCAGCTGTGAAAGTCTCTGTAGAATAAAACTGGAAAGAAGACACGTTTTTTGATTATATTTGAAAGAATTTCTTTCCAAAAATTCAACAGATGTCATTGAATAGGAATGACCCAAGCCGACTTTTTGCTCACAGTAAAACAAAGCACATCTAGGTAAAGATTTTCAGTCGTTTGGAGGGCATAACAGAGAATTCCCGTCAAGAAGTACAGTTTTTTTCCAGCGAATTCCATAAAAATTTGTAGCTGGTTTGGGGTTTTTTTCTACACTATATATATGTCCGCCAACAACATCTGGAGGTCCTTATTCATTTCAAAAAAGTGGGTGCTATTTGTCACCATGCTGATTATATTGGAACAAGTAAAAAGTTCGTTCGGTGTTTTTAAGATATGGCGTTAGTGTCCATAATACTAGTGTTACGTATCGCATCATGTCATACGATACGGCGCTGAAGACGTGTTTATTCGCGCTAATTTCCATCAGGACAACGCCAAGCCACACACGTCGTTGGTGACGCGCCAGAAGCTCCAGGGGCTCGGATGGGAGGTCCTAATGCATTCACTTTATAGTCCGGACCTGGCACCAAGTGATTACCATCTTTTGCTGTCCATGGCAAACGCGCTTGATGCTGAGAAGTTGGCCTTCTATGAGAGTGGAATGATGAAGTTAACATCTCGTTGGCAACAAGTTTACGAACAAAACGGTGTACGTTTGACTTAAATCGGACAAATGTACACAAAGTTATCATGTTTTGAAAAATCAATAAAAAAAAAACGGAACGAACTTTTTACTTGGCCAAAGGTATATATAATTGGCGCTTTGTACCCGCCGAAGCGGTCTTGCGTCTTGATGTTTTTCCAACAAATGGAGGGATCTACAGTTTATACTAAGCCGCTGATGGGTTTACTTTACCTCATGTTAGAAATACACTCGGAGGGGTCGGCATTCCCTGCCAATAATAAAATTTAACTTAATTTTTTTATTTTTTTTTTTTTTGTTGTTCGCAAGGGGATTTGAAGCTGAGCCTTCCGATTGGGATTAGTGACAGCTAAAAAAAAATAACATAAAAATAGCACTGATCTGACACCAAACAATTAGGGGAATTTCCTAAAATTGTTTGCTCACTTTTAGTTTAAAAAAACTGAAAAGCTCATGTTTGGAAAACAAGTGTTTGAGGAAATATAATTTTTAAAAGCGAAAAGCGTCTGTCTAAGATTTAGAGAATTGTTTATTTTATACTCCAATATGACTCTTTATGGATTAGCATTCCCTTTTATACAACGAAATACAGGGATTTTAGATTTTTAAAACACATTACTTAGAATTCTAATACTTTCGCGATTCAAATTAAGTAGTTTATTACTTTTCCTTTAGATAATTTTCTAAAAAATTTAATAATTTAGGATATCAGGGGCAGTATACGTAAATTTTTGATCTAGATACAGACGGTTGCTTGCTTGGTTGGTTGATAGGGCTGGTTGAGAATCTAATCTCAAGCGGCTGCACCTAAGCCATAAAGTAGGCTCATTATGCTCCTTCGCATAACTTAAATATACTTTTATAAAAATGCCACTCGATTTCAAAAACTTACTTAATTTCTTGCAACCATGTGTGCCCCACTACGTAAGATTACATTTGGGGCACCGTAAAAAATGTGATTTTTCTTTCGACTAAAAGCCGGACACTCGCTAAGGTAGTTCAGTTTACGCCATGTTCTGCACATGCTCTACACTCTGCCGATTCCATTTTACCTTATTTGTGGATATGATGGCTCAGCAGTTTCTGCTCCGTCAACGTCATTTGGTATATGTAAACATGAGTCAAAGAAGTCGGTGGTCAATTGAAGAAATAGGGAATGGTGGAACAAAAATATTTTACAAATTTAACCAAGAAAAATCTCTTTTGAAAACCGATATAAAATAGACCTGTGTTGGATGTTTTCTAAGGAAATTTTATATATTAATAGAAAAAAAATTAAAACAAATTTGAATTGCTTTTTTTAGTAAAAAATTAATATTTACAATTAAAAATTTCTGTACTAATCTTTATTGTTTACTTTTTCTCTATTATTTTTAGATGGCGTGGCAGCGTTTACAAATTGGTGTGGCGTGAACTAATCGCATATTTATGTCTATATTACACAATAAATTTAGTTTATAGACTCGTTTTAAATGATCAACAGCAACAGTTAGTATATAAAAATTAATTATATATATGTATTTACTATTGTATAAAGCTGCAAGAACAACAACTCATTACTCTCTCTGTGCTTTTCTTAAAAGGGACATCATAATCTTAAGGCTTCATTATAAATACTCCAGTATATGTATTTTAATATAAATTAAAAATCATTTAAACTAGGACATACCTGGCTGAAGTTAAAATAGTTTTTTAAGAATAAGAAATTTTTCTGTTAGTCGTGAGTCAAACGTATAATTTTTTATCGCTTTATTCTTCTCACAAAAAAAAAAATACAAAATAAATAAAGAGAGCAGCTTAAGTAAACCTTCAAACCTTCGTAACACCTTTTCCACGTACAGATTCCAATGTTTCGGAATGAAATCACTTATTTCAACCTACGATTTTCATAACCACATAAATTTTGTGAATCGCATCAGAATGTTCTGTTGCGAGTGAATAGAAAAGTAAAGTGAAGAAAACTATTAATATGTTAGGTTTTGCTAACTGAATAATATTCTAACAACTTTTTTGATATTTGTAGAATATGCTGAAATGATCTTTGAACTATGTATTCATTAAAACATTTGAATTAATAACGATTTCCTGAGAATATCGCGTAAAATTCAAACGAGTAAGTTAACAAAATTCATGAAAATGGGAGCACATAAATTGGCTTTCAAAAGAAATTTTTCAATTCACAGTGTGGAATCGAAATGTGAAAATGGGAGCACAGCTGAATAATTGATTTCCGTTAATTTTTCTCACTGAAGGCACTTGATCTAACTTAAGAGCGGGACCTAAAAAAAAACTATAAATCACTCACTGCACTGCTCTCCAGAGCCCAGAACATTTTCTTAAACATTTGCAAAGCTTTTAGTGTAGATAATCCTATAAGGTTATAACTTTTATATCTATTATTTATATTTATTTAGAACAAATTGCAATTTCTTCCCATTCACATTCTATTTTCTTTCATAAATTTTTATTTTGCCAGAATTTTCAACAAAGTGCGCATATATTTCGGCCAACAAGGCGAGAGCATACCCATGTCATTTGTACTGGGTTTCTATGTGAATAAGGTGGTGCAGCGTTGGTGGGAGCAATATAGATTATTGCCGTGGCCCGATACTTTGGCGTTATTTATTAGCGCTGCCATACCGAACTCCACGGGTGGAGTTAATGTAAGTAGAGAACCAAAACAAAAAAAAATGTTAATAAAAAATAAATATAAAACATTAATGCTAATGAGAAATTTATCAAAAAAAATAATAATATAAATATTTAAAAGAAAAAAATTAAAAAACAAGCAATTTCTTTTACAGAATGAAACCGGACGCCTCATGCGTCGCAACATTATGCGTTACATGGTGCTCGCCTACGTCATCACACTGCAACGCATCTCATTGCGTGTTAAGCGACGCTTTCCCACCACACAACATCTCGTGGATGCTGGTCTCATGCACGAGTCTGAATCGAAAATTTTCGATGCACTTAATGCCAAAAGTCCCATGTCCAAATACTGGATGCCGCTGGTTTGGGCCACGAATATTATAAATCGGGCACGTAAAGAGGGTCTGATAGCATCCGATCACATTGTACAAACAATACTGATGGAATTGTCCGATATACGTAGACGTCTGGGTGGTCTGATTGGCTACGATACGGTGTGCGTGCCGCTGGTGTATACGCAGGTGTGTGGTTGTTGGTTTTTGTTGTTGTCATTTAATTGCTGGTAATTAAAAAAAAAAACGTGCATACGAGTATAAACAACAATTGCCGTTAAATTAATTAATTGCTGTTGTTTTTTTTTACTTCTTAATTTATTTATTTGCAAATAAATATTTTATTGACGTTTATTCTGTTTTTGTTATTTGTCGCGCTTTTAGGTTGTGACACTGGTGCTGTACACGTATTTTATAGCTGCGTTGGTGGGACGTCAGATGCTGCCCAACATGACCGATGCCAAAGATCCAGACTTGTACTTTCCGTTATTTACGGTTCTGCAAGTGAGTAACTATTTAATTATAATTTATTACGAAGAAGATAATACATAAATACATATATATTAGCTGTGAGGTTGTCAAGCTCCCTTTCTTATAGAAACCATGGTCCGTATTAGCTTAAAATTGAGGCAATCGATTTTCCCAGGCTTATCCTGAGACCAATTCCTCACCAGGCAAATTACTCGCCATAGAGAAGAACAGTTAGTAGTAGCTTGATGTAAGGTCCGGGAATCTCTTAACCTTTTTTATAGCTTCCAGCGAATTACTGTCGATGTGTGTGGTCTGGCTTTAGGTTGATGAAAGACAATTCCTATCCTGTTGGTCAAAGCTGGGTGCTTCTGGGCGATTGCTTCCTTAAAAAGGTTCAATTACTGGCACTATATTGACCGCAGAGAAGCAACTCATAGTGGTTGATTCCTTACCAATCGCATTAAATATACAACGAAATCGGCCTGGCCATCTAACCTGGCTTGGAGAGCGTTTGTGACGGCTCACTTCCCCTCGACCACGACCGTTTTCATTTGGCATTGCTTTTGCACCTTCATCATCAGTCACCAACCGGTAAAGATTTTGGTACGTCTGAGCTGCGATTTGCAGAGGTTTTTGCGTGAAGTCTTTCTCGTTAACTCATGTAATACTCTTACATCGGACTTGTTTGTGTATCCAGTCTATTCCAAGCGGTTCCAACCTATTGTTTGTGCAACGTTGCATGACGACAATTGGCCTTTCCCACCATAGAGCAACTTTCACATCAAAATTACCAGAAGGAAATTCACGAAACCATTATTGTGCATGATTCACATTTTCAGCTGCCTGAAAACCGTTTTATCTTTTACCGAAGGAAAATTGTCATGTATTAATGTGTAATAACCGGATTCATGCATAGACAGTTTGCCTAAAACCGCTGTGTTACAGGTAGTTGGTACTCTTTTCACCGCTTGTTCCATAATTTCCAAGTTGTTTGAACTGATTTCCTGTTGTTCTTTACCGCATTAACGGTCTATCACGAGTCATCGGGAGATATATTGTATTTTATACCAGAATCTCAGTTTTGACTTAAGTTGTCTATGGCTTAGTATATATATGTTTATGGAAATAGTTTCTGTTTCCTTATACAATAATAAAAGAGGTCAGCCATAACCATTGATAGGAATTTACCAAGTGATCTTCAAACTCTAACGAGTTTACTTCTTATGTGTATTTTCGGTATTTTATGGGCATTACACGATTCAAATAGGGTCTAGATGCTTTCTATGATCTCAAGTGACTGATTTCAGGACATCCTGGTTTCACAGTGCAGAGGCTGTCCAATTCTATTTCACTTTCACTTTCCTGCTTTTGTTCTCTTTCTTGACGCATGTACATTTTATTGTCTAACGGCGTAGGTGGTAAGCAACCAAATCCGCAAAGATCGGTCTTTGGTTTCACGTTTATTCCTCAGTGTCGACTTTTGTATTTTTTTTTTTTTTTTGCTTTAAAATTTGACGAGGACGCTGTGATATGAGGTGTTTCTGTTGTAAGCATTATTATTCAATTTCAACTTTCATACATACACCATACATTACATACATACATTTATAAGTATTTATTCGTCAGCGCCAATCGTTAGATTGCATTGAAAATGAAATTGAAACTTTCAAAGCTTTAATTTGGTTGCACTCATATGGATTTACATATATATAATACATACATACATACATACACACATATGTAATATAATAGGTGTTTAGGAAATCGTTACATACATAATTACATATAAATGGGTTTGTGTTGTTGTGAGCAAAAAAATGTCATACCCAATAGAAGGATTTCGGCTTCGATTGACGAATTCCACTTTCTTCACAATTAAATAAGTTTAATTTTAAATTTTCCAAAAAAAAATTCATATGTATAAAAAATAGAGTAATTTTTTTCAAAATTTTGTGTTGTTTAGTATTAATTATTTCCTAAACAATCTGCACTTTCTGCGCTCGTCAAAATTTCAAATTCGCTTTCAACACAATCCATATCCAAAACGATTGAAAACAAAGTGGAATTGTAGTAATGTAATAACGGAAAAAAGTTATAAAAAAAAAGCACAAAACACTAATTTAACCTACATTGCTGTCGTTAAAAATACAAAAAAAAAAAAAAAAAAAAAACAACGGGTGAAATGGTGGCTTGCGGCTTACGTTGGCCCACTACAAAATGATTATAACCTTATATGCACGTACGCACACGAGTATAGTGCTATTTAGGTATTTATTGAGTTAAAAAATGTCGATATTAAATTCGATTTCAAATACAGAGACAAACGCTGTTGCTTAAATACAAAAACAATTGCAGCTAAGCAAAATAAAGTAAGTAAGTCTGTATAGGGGTATATCTAAATTTATTTTTTGTAAATATATCTATTTACATTACATACATCTGTATGTGCAAATACACATGCCCGTATGTAGTAGTTATGTATGGTGGGAGTGTGACAAGTGTAAGTTAACGGCACGTGTGACATGCTTATATCAGTGAAATATAAAATTATATACAAGTACTGCTTGTAGGAGTGAGTAACACTATAAAATTTATGCAATAATACCCAATTTCAAATTTTAGATTAAGATAATGTGAAATGGTTTAATTTCGCTTATTTTTAACTTTTTACTTTTTTTTATTAATTTTATTTTATTTCATATAATATGTAATAATTAAATTTTTTAATAAATTTACCGTATTTATTTTAATTTTTTTTTATTTACTTACTGTATTTAATTTAATTTTATTCAAATTTATTTAAATTTATTTTAAATTATTATACATTATTCGTTTCATTTTATTAATTATTTTATTTATTTAATTTTAATTAATTTAACAAATTTTTTCATTTTATTTTACAATACGAAATACAATTCAATAAAATAAACTAATTTATATTGTATTTGGTTTTATTTATTTGAATTTATTTTATATTAATTTAAATTTTACTTTAGTATATCAATGGTTTCAGCAACCTCCGTCTCATTTTTAATTGGAAAAAAAATTAAACTAAAAAAAAGTAATGAAAAAAATTAAAAAAAAAAATAAATTAAAAATATGAATAAATTAAGAAAAAATTATATAAAAAAGAATTAAATGAAAATAAACTTAAGTCAAATAGAAATTGAAAACCTCAAAAGGTTTGTCGGCTTGAAGTCAGGATAAATAAAAAAATATAAGTTTTGTTCTCTCCCGTTATATTTCGATGACACATCGGCAACCAACTTAAGGGGCACTAATGAACGATATGAACAAAATATTAATTATATTATTTCATAAATTTTTGCATAAACATACATATATTAACAATATGGTCTAACGATGTGACGTTTTGTACTTTAGATTCGTTGTTTAGCAACTCTCTGTTCAAGTGAGCGCAATAATGAGTGTCCGTTTTGAGGTTAAATTATAATAAATATCATTTGCTTTTAAATGAATTTATTTCATTTACTTTATTTTAAATATTTTATTTTTTTTATTAAATATTTTTAATTAATTTATTTCATTTGTTTGTCGCTTATTTTATTTACTTATTTTTGTTTATTTAAACGAGTTAAATTAAATTTTTTTATTTCAATTTATTTTGATAATTAGTTCATTTTATCTTATTTTTTAATTTTATTATTTTATGTTATTTCATTTCATTTTTTTTAATTAATTTTATTTATTTTATTAATTTTTTTATTTTATATTATTTTATCGCTTAGTTTTATTTTATTTAAATTGTATCATTTTATTTTGTTTTACTTTACTGTTTTAATTAATTTTACTTTATTTTATTTTGTTTTTTTCACATCTTGTATTATTTGTACTTATTAAATAAATTTTTTTTATTTTTATACCTTCCAGTTCGTATTTTATGTAGGCTGGCTTAAAGTCGCTGAAGTATTAATAAATCCGTTTGGAGAAGATGATGATGATATTGAACTAAATTGGCTTATAGATCGGCATATAAAAGTGAGTAAATATTTCTTAAACCTACAATTAAATATAATAATATATGTTTCGAATAGACAAATTAACACTTATGTAATATGTAAGTATTTGTATAGCAAAAGTAATGCTGTCCACTTTTTTGAACAAAAACGAAATAAGTTGAGTAAAGTATGCATATACGTATAAACGTACATACGTATAAATTTTGTAGAGAAAAGAAGGAAAGCACGTGCACAAGATCACAACAATAATTCAATATACGCTTATCTATATTTATTACATCAACTTTTGCTCGAAAGCACGCAAGATCGAACGACACGTTTCCCCCAGCGAACTGGTTTTTGAACCAAACCATTCAAAACAGCACTACATATGTACATAGAGACAAGTACAGAAGCATAAATGAGCAGTAGGGTGAGCTAAAAAAATATATCATATCGCTTTAATGATTTTAATAAATAATAATAAAGAATTATAATAAGTATAATATTTATTTACCAAAATGAGTTATAAAATATTTTTACTTATGTGATATTTAAATCGGAATTTTTAATGCTTCCTGGCCTGTGTAAATTTGTTTCCCCAGTAAAAAGTTTCAATTCAACTCATCAATCAATATATTAGTTTTTCTTAGGCGCACCCTAGTGTATAAATGCTGCGCATGCGTGTGTATAAAAATGGACTTTCAATAAAAAAATCAACATCTGTTCAAAGTACATTTTTCGACTTCGACAAACAATACATACAAATACTCGTATTTGTGTTGAAAAAAAAAAATATTGACATTAAAAGTTTTGCAAAAATTCGTGTAATGACAAAAGCGCATGCGCAAGTGAATGACAGCTTAAACAATGTGCACTCGCGGCTTACGCAGGCAAAGACATTGCGAGTAGACAACGAGGAAATTTTGCAGAAACTCATATATAAATACATATGTGCATATGTATGTACATATACACTCTACGTATGTGCATATAAAAACTTCATTGCTATCTTAAGAATGATCGCTACCAATATACTTATTGCCCATACTCAAAAACATCTGTACATACGAGTACATACCTACCTACTTATACCTACCTTCTTGGGCTTGTGGTCAATCCACTCAAACTGGTTTTCAATAAATAGAATGGCACAGGAAAAAAAAATAATAAAATACAAATTATTTAATGTGTTTTCTACCTTCACGCTAGTTAAAAAATATGTACATATGTATATACATATGTGCATGTGCACCTACCTAGCTTTGTGTACTCGTATGCAAGAAGTGCGTTTATCTTAAATTTGAATCGATTTCTTAACTTTAGTTAGACTTTCATCGAATTTAAGCCCGCCAAGAGCCGCTCTGAGTTTAAAACTATCCAGGATTCTGCACATAATGAAGACATAGTTAGAGCTAACGCCAAGCTCTGACTCGCAAGTCGCCTTCTGGATCTTCGTCTCACTCTCGGAGAGTAGAAATCCAAGTAGAGTACAAAAATGCGCAACTTGGCTATCGCAGGTTAGTAGTCTAAGTCGATGTTAGTACCTCGCAGGGGACGTATATATATGTCAAATACCGGAAATGTGACTTTGTCTAATACAAGATGGTCAAGATTGCTTTTATCACAATCAGGCCCACTTACAATGTCTCGGCATAGAGTTTGAGTTTTTAATAATTATCATTAAATCTTATTTGGAGGCTGCACCCCAGTCGGTCGTTTCAAAGCTGCCAATTAAATCGTTTTTAAAATGTAAAAAAGAGGATACGATTCCTACAGATGTATCGTCAAATATAGTCATAAAGTAAATATATGTAAATAATAATATTAGGTAAAAAAAGTGGTACATACAAATATACACCGCTAAGCTCGATAACTTTTAGTAATTTTGAAGGTTATGTCTTTATGTCGCTCTCATAAATAGAAACCCTCATTCCTAATGGTGAAAAATTTGGACAATTGATTTTCATAGGCTTCGCTTGAAGCCAATTCCTCAACAGGCAAGTCATTCGCCTTAAACAGAGACCGAGGTCCGGACTATATGGTGGAAGCTTAAGAACCTACTAAGCAAGCTTTCAAGTCTTCTGGCGAGCTACAATCGCTGTGTGTAGTCTGGCATTGTCCTGATAAAAGACAATTCCTCTGCTGGGCGTTTCTTGACAATTACTGATGGTACAGGACCTAATTAGGAATTTCGCCTGAGGGGAGCAGATCAAAATGAAAAATTCCTTGCCAGTCCCGTCAAACACAAAAAAAAACCCTTCCTGGCTTGGAGACAGTTTATGCCAGCTCACTGTTCTTCGTCCATGACCGTCTTCGTTTGACGTTGTTGTAGGTGGTGATTAATCACCAGCCACCATCAGCTTCAGAAATGCATCGATTTGGTTACGATTACGAAAATTCGGTCAATGATGCTCTTTGTATGTTCAGCCTTTTTTAAGTTTCTCAAAACTTGTTTTTGTGCCTGGTTTAGCTCCATGGTGATCGAAACAGTGCTCAGACTTGACGAATTGCATTATTTTGCCGATAATTTCGACAATTAGCCTTCCACGCCATGCATGATTGGACTGCTACGCTATCAGTGCCATAAACACCATTAACATTTTCTGCTGCCTGACTTGGGTATTAACCTTTTCGAAGAAAAATTTTCGAATATAACGAATAGAATTAATAATAGAATATTATCTTTCTAACGCCATCTATTACAAAAATAATGGATTATTTTTTATTTGACTAATGTATACGGAAATGAATCATGGAAAATGGTCGAGCTCAGCTAATTTATTCATACCGGAATTCCAACAACCTCATTTTATTGCGAAAAAGTAGAACAAAACGTGATATCTACACATTAAAGTGAGACATAAAAGAGCAAAAATATTGAAATAAGTCATGCAGGTAAAATAGTGAGACTAAAAAGCGAATTGTAAATAAAATATGAACCGTTAAAAACAACTGCACCATGAATTCATAAAATTAATTAAACACTGCGGGTTGGCTTTCGGCAAAACATAAAACTTTAAAAATTAATATTAAATAAAACAAATTTTTGAAAGAAAATTTCGCAGATTTGGAATTACTGCGCTTGATACGATGTAAAAATGTGATTGCGCACATTACTTAACTCTTCCAAATGTGTTTTTTTCTGCCCATGCTCGTGAAGAGTGCTACATTGTGAGCGCGTTGGTGTAAAAAAACTTCAAACTTTTGCAAGTGCACTCTCACTTCTACTTCACTTTGAAGCAAATTTTGAAGCGATCGACGAATGTGGTTACATAATGAGTAAAGTCAAATAGGAAAAAAAGGCGATGAAATAAATTAACATGCAAACGTTGTGACGCGCAAGCGAAATACAAAAACATAAATTGGTATTTGCAAAAAGGGTGATTTTTTAAGAGCTATAGGAAAGTTTAAAACAATAACACATAAAATTCAGAAAAATGCATGAAATCTTTATTTGAATCGATAGTACGATCCATCTTATTTCATATTTTATTATTCGTGCAAATGCTGACCGTGACAGCGTCGCAAATGGTCCATCCGCTCAATCCGATTTTGGCTTACTCTTTCCAATATTTCGGCCGGTATCTCACGAATAAATGCTTCAGTATTGTGCTCCAATGCGTCATTTGAAGCGGGATTGTCTGAATAAACATTAGATTTTAATAAAGCCCCACAAAAAGTAGTCTAAAGACGTTAAATCGCACAATCTAGGCGGCCAATTGATCGGTACCGAACGTGAAAAAAAATGTTCACCGAACTCGCCTCTCAGGAAGTCCATTGTTACGCGTGCTGTGTGGCATGTGGCACCGTTTTGTTGGTACCACATGTCATGCAAGTCAAGCTCTTGCGTTTTAGTCAAGAAAAGCTTGATATCATCTAACGGTGGCGCTCACCATTCACAGTTACGTTACGATTCGCATCATCTTTGAAGAAGTACGATCCAGTGATGCCACCAGCCCGTAAACCGCACCAAACTGTGACTTTTTCTGGATGCATTGGTTGCTCTTGCAATGTTTCTGGCTGATCTTCACTACAAAGTCGACAATTCTGCTTATTTACGCACCCTTCAAGCCAAAAATGAGCTTCGAAGCTTCGAACTTTCTTAACAGAGCACGCATTTTGATAGTAAAAGTCAATAATTTGCCAGCGTTGTTCGTTTGCAAGGCGATTCATGGTTAAATTATAGACCAAACTGAAGATGTTTGACAGTGATAGAAAACACGAAGCATGCATCAGCTGTTTAAACCAGTGTTGCCAAGAAGATAATAGCTAAAAAATCACGCTTTACATAGTGACCCTGCAGGAATGGGCCGGCCGATTATCTCGAAAGTTTCTAGTCCCACTCAAAATTAGATGGTTAAAATTTTTTTTACCTCTGTTGACCAAAAAAGGATACTTGACAACGCAGCGGTTAAAAAGAGGCAAGAAAATAGCAACGATTTGCGTGCCGGAGCTATAATAGAAATATATATATATATATAAAAAAATAAAACTGGATAAAAATATAAGCGTAAAGAATATGGATTTTATTGACCTAGTTTGACTAGTCTCAAACCAGATAAAAAGAGGCCAATTCCATGCCAATTACGCGTCGATATTTAAAATGTCAGTTGAATGGCATCGGCTGGAAGCGAGACTTATAAGGAAGGCACTAAATATTAATAACCACAGAGACTGCGTGCAGGCTTGCCTACAAGGGTGTATATACGAGTATAGAGAAATGCATAAATTATGTAGGCATCGCCATAACCGTAAAAAGAGTGTATACAAAATGATTTAATTAAGTGTTTATTTTCACTTTTGCTTTAAATTTGCATCGTTTTTGTGCTGATTCGTATGATTTGCCGCTTTTATATTTATTTATTTTTAATTACATTTTTGGCTAAACCTTTCTGCTTTCGTTCATTTTTGGTTTTTAAAGTGCTTACCGCATTTTATGGTGTTACGTGCGTATGAAAGTACAGTGGATACCGCATAATTAATACAGAAATAGTTATTTATTTTCTAACTTTGGTAGAAAAATATATTATACTTCGAAGTGCTTTTGTTATTATTTGTTTACGGACATTTTTCGGGCCGAGAAATGTAAGAAAGAATTTTTGACAGCAGCAATTTTAAAGAACAAAATGATTTCTCTTTAGAATTATTTTTTGACCTTGAAATTTTAATAATCGGCCATTCACTGTAACTGCAGTTTATAAGCAATAAGTATTCAGGTGCCTCCATTTCTTTGAAGTGGCGACATTCCATTTAAATATAGAAGAGCTTAATTACAATTCCGATACTCAGGGCTTTTTATACTATCTGAACCATACAACTGAAATCTATAATTTTTATTGCAACAGATACTACCTCAGCCAGTACGCTTTACAAAGAAAAGTTTTTATAAGGACAAACGTTGTGTCTGAAGCTTTGAAAAGCTATAACACGCTTCATACGTGAGTCCTTAAAACTTTTCAGCCTACCGTATGTAGTACAGACAGCTTCTATTGGTCGTATTATCAGTCGTAAAAGAAGTGTGTACTACCATTCGGAGGCCAGATCAACACCAAAATTATACAAAATTAATTTAAGAAATGAAAAATAATTATTCCACCTGTGATGGGCCTCGGCAGGGAATATCAGAGCACGCAGAGTGCATTTCTGACGTGAAATAAAAAGCTCCACATAAAACCATCAGCCGTTCGGAAATAGCTTAGCGTGCATTGTCGGCCAATCTATTTGTCAGAAGAATATCGAGGCGCAGACTAGATATGCCAGGATATATTAAGCAGATTCTCGGAGCTATAATTTTCCCTAATGCCTGAGCAACAGCTCCGTTGATCTTACGGGTTTCTCTAGCTTCACTCAATCCTTCAAAAATATTTACTGCTTTGCAATAACTCCTGCCGATTTCGAATTTTTCATCAATTTTTTTTTGAGGCTTTTAATAGCTAAACAATGTATGCTGACAATGGTTTTGACGTTGATAATATTAAAATTGCGGCTCCTATGCGAAATAGAGATGGCAAAAAACTGTGAGAAAAGAATGCTACTCTAATGATTTTTGTCGCAGCAGAAGTCGCTGTCCATTCCTAAATACCAGTCTTAGCACGCATAAGAAATCTCAAAGCATTTAGCCACTGGTCACACTACTTATGTTGCCTCTCGAGTAATTGTACTATATTTATTCTATTCAGCATTAATATTAAGATTGATATGAAGATTTTTTCATAATTTCGAATTAATCTTTTTCTAAAAAATTTTATAGAAATGCATTAAAGATTTTTCTGAGATTTTGTTTCGACATTAGCTTATCTTTCTATTTCTAAATAATTCTAAAATAACATCTCGATTGCTCCTTTTTATTTTTGACGTTAAAAGTTTCGTTTTTGTAGCATAGTTTTAGGCGTTGTATCATTCTCAAATGTGGTACCATCAATTTTATACGTGCCGCAGAATATCAAAACGCTCTCTTACTATAATGAGTTGAATCAGATTTTTTTTGGGTTCAAATTTCATTTAAAAATGTATAATTTTTGATTTTCTAGTTAGAGCATATTTACCTTTCACGAATGATTTGTTATCAATGAGTTTAGCGCCAGAGAGATAAGAAGGTGGTCATGAAAATGTTTCATAAAAAAATATTTTTTTTTTTAAATAATATAATTTTTTTTCTCTTCTAAATGATAAGCTACTTTTCCGGTTGTACTATTAGTTTAATAAAACCCATTATATTATGTTTAGTTCCATATATATATGAAGCTATAAACTTTATAGTTTGATAATTTGGTTATCGCTGGGGGAACCCTCATAAAATACGTGAACAATCAGTAATTAGAAATGCGTAAATTTAACAGAAATGCCCAGCTTTAAGTGGTAATATTGAAGAACTTAATTTATTATCGAACAGAATTTTTTTTCTTTGTGCTGTGTGCAAGAGTCTACCCACATATATATGTATAAATATAATGGCTGGACAAGGGGAACTCATTTTAATGATTTCCAAATGGATATTTTTTATTTTATTGTGTTTTTTTTCACCACAATTTCTCTGCAGTAAATTTAAATAGTTATTTTAATTCTTTCATTTCCAGGCCGCCTACATGATCGTCGATGAAATGCACGAAGAGCATCCAGAGTTATTACGCGATCAGTATTGGGAATGTGTAGTGCCGAAGGAGTTGCCCTACACTGTCGCTTCGGAACATTATCGTCGTGAAGAGCCCAAAGGTTCGGCGGAGAATTACAAAATAAAGAAAGAGGATGCCATGTACGCGAATATAGTACCCGGTGGCGGCAAACGTGGCCTGGTCGATGATGTTTATGCGGATTATGTTAGTATAGATAACAGTTTTTATTTTTCAGAAATATTCATTACACAATTTTTGCTTTTCATTTGCTATGCAGGAGAGCGTCGATACGCCCATGGTGGAGCGACGCAAACACAACTGGCTTCAAAGACAACTCTCACGCATGGGCTCCATTCGCAGTCAATCTACCGCGTATTCATCAAGTGGTATGGCTTTCAATCGTAATCGCCTAAATTCCGTTTACTCTAGTCCTGAATCTGGTATACCGGTGAATATGTTGCAGCAGCAACAACAGCAGGCGCAACAACAACAGCAGCAGCAACAGCAGGGTCAATCAACACAAATGCAATCGAAGCCAAGTTTTTATGGAAAATTTGTTAACCGTAGATCGCAAAGAGCGCAGAAGCAGTTGATGAAGCAAAGTAAGTTTCAGCGAGAGTAGGGTAAAAGGGAGGAAGAGAAAGAATCAGGATGTACTTGAAAAAGGAAGAGTATTTTATGCCAGCCTTTGAAATGATCCTAAATGTAGGCAACGCATTTTTCCTTCAATCCAACTCAAAACATTTCCTACATTAGGGCATAATATATCCAAAACCCATTTCAATTATATTTCGAGAACAAGAAGGTGAATATTCAAGCACGGAATAAACAACCGTTTTCTAATTCCAGATTCGAAACTGAATGGTCTCAATGCGAATATTCCTAAGCCACGACCGCGCATACCTACACCCGACGTCGCCAAAGAGTCCGCCGAAAGGGATTATAATGGTAAGTACATTGAGTAGAGAGCACCAGACGGAAAATATACATATTTGAGTTGCACCCGTAGGCACTAAAACCGTTATTATGACACCACAGTTGAGCACACAAACCTCTATGTATCCCTACACGAGCACCACCAATCAGCAAGATGGACCTGTTTTGGGCACACTTTTATTATCGCCCATTAAAGAAATGGATAGTTCATCTTCGAATAATACTCTGATTCCAGGGCATCCGACCACAACGGCATTGGCACAAGCCATTTTGCCAACCAATCTGAAAGATGTGAACTTCGGGGTGGCATCACGTGAGTAATTTGTCAAATTATTAGCGAATGAATTTTATTTTTTCCTACACAATTTTCATTTGCATCTCTTTTCATTACACCCACAGCGCCCGTCACCACCAATATCACACATATCATGCCGGCAGGCACTTTGAATATTTTACCCATAAGCGCTGCACAAATGGCCACCATTACAACCAGCGCCAGCGGCTTCGATACTGGCGAACTCATCACCACAACTCCTCTATCTTTGTCAATACAACGTTCACCCTCAATGCGCTCCATCAACGACTTCAATGGTAATGAGAATGCAGATGTGTCGCATAATTACACGGGTTCTGCTGGTAATGGCGCTGGAGGTAGTGGTGGCGGTGGAGGTGGTGGTTTGGTAGCCACCACCAATAATGCGATACTCACCATAAAACCACTGAATAGCGGTGCCAGCCTTTCGCGAAATAACAGTTTTAATGCCAACTTGAATTTGGACTCATATGTGTTGGAGCGGAACGCTTCTGTGCGTTCAGCTGGGCAGCCGAACGGCAGTAGTGTCACTGATGGCGCAAGCACAACGGTGACGCGTGAAGAGGGTCGCGGAGAGATTATCGGAGCGAGTGGCGCATCGATGCCGTCAACTTTGGCGAAACGTACACCAGAGCCTGCAAAAGGCACGAAAGAAGTGTATGTGTGAGCGAGAAGGAAAAAGGTCAGCGTACACAGTTCTGATAGCACACGATAAGTTAACGGTGTCATAATTACGAGAAACGTTGGTACTTTGATGGTGCCTTGAATCTTTAAAATGCAATTGTGCTTCCTTGCGCCTTAGCTTTTTGTAGCATACCTACAGGCGCAATGTTTCTAATGGTTTTTACCGCTATCAAGTTTGCGAGTGTTGCCAGATTTTTTGCATGCATATGCAAACTAGGAATGTTTAGTTGAGTGAATAAATAAATAAATTTGTAAATATGTCTGTATGTATAGTTTAGATTTCAAACGTGTTTAGAGTATATTTTTTAGCAAAGCATTTTTCTATCTTATTACCACTACATTCACCCTTAAGCCAATTGGGAAAAAATAATAATCCAAAGTATTCAAAAATTATATTTTACTCGAATTGTACATAAGATTGATCAAACCTTTTTATTATTATAAAATACTTACTTTAAAATCGTTTAATTGCTGAGCTATACATTCCTCAAAGCTGTTTAAAATACAGTGTTCCAAGTGTAGTTAATTTTAAAAACAACTATTACCGTTATGAAGCAGTCCTACATTGTGTTAGCTTTTTGATTAATAGCTTCTCATACATTTGTATGTATTTGTAAAGCTAATAAAAAATTTTATTATATCGAAATCTATAAGTGGGAAGAAGTGTAAACTTGTATTTAAATTTAAATAATATAAATTAATTAAATAAAATTTATTATAGAACGTTTAACAATATCTGTAAGTATGCAAATTGAATCTCCATAAAAAATCTAAAACCGAATGAAATGTTTTGTGATATTTGCCATGCATACAAATATTTATGTGTGTATCTAATGTATCTAATGAAAAAAAAGTATCTATATATACATGTATGTGTTATATATTGTAATTAATTGTTAGTAGTAGAATTGTTGATCAAATTAAATGTTATTAATTTTTGTTTAGCCATATATTATATTTTAAGATATAAGTAAAATTTTTTTTAATATTTTATTTTAAATAAAATTGTATGTACAAACCTACATACTTTTTAGCACTAATTTAATTTAAATAATATGAAAATTTTAATTGTAACTCATTTTATATTATTATAATAAAAAACCTGAAAGAAATGTTTGGCTTTGTTGAAAATACGACATTCTGTAGAGTGATTGCGAGAAAGACAGTTGACAGTCCAATTCTGTGAATATCACAAAAAGCATTACTACAATTTGAGTGTAATAGCGGCGCCTACAGTTATGCAATAAAAACTGGTTTTTAAACTAACCGAAAAAGTACTACAAAATAAGCTGTATAGAACTGACAAACATGCCTGACTAAGCCTAAGTCTGCTCTGGATAACCGATAAGCAGGGCGTCCTCAGAGTCTGTGCCTATTATCGTGGGACAAGCCTCCTCAGTAACCCATATAGGATCATATTTAGCCTATTGTGTCAACGAAATGATCGGACCTTATCAGTTTGGTCTCAGACATGGTAGTCCCTTGACCAAATATCTTTTCTCAGGATCGAGTGGGACTTTCCGAGCGTTTAATACTGAATGAGGTTTCAGACAAGGTAACTCATAATCTTGTAACTTCTTTCATTTAATGTAGGGAGAAATATGATAAGTTGCTTAACAGAGAACGCACAACTTTTGACATAAGCCAATGAAATTGATACCATCAGCCTCTGGATAGCCATGCAAATCGACTCGCCTGGTCTTGAACTAGGAGAAGGTGAAATATCTCGTGTCATCAAACAAACAGCAAACGCGTTCGCATTGAGTTAGCATTAAAATCTTTCGATAGAACTGGTTTTGACTAAGAGCCCCTTATATCTTAGAGTCTAAGGCTATGCTGGATAGGCCATGTTATCAGTATGGCTTTGAGCAGTCCAGCTCGAAAAGTATTCACTACAGTACAAGCTGGTGAAAACTGCAGAAGAAGAAGACCTCTACTACGTTGGTTCTCAAATAGAAGCTGTACGACGTAAAAACGAAACTCCTGGAAGGATATATTCGCATCAGCGGTGTACACGGCAATGAAGAAGAAGAAGAAAAAATGCTCACAGTTTAAAATAATAAATAGCTGGCCTATACAAGGAAAGCAATATGCCCAAAGCGTACGTTCTCTTGCAAGATTTCACCACAAAACTGAACTTAATTTTTTAAAATGATTTTTTTTGACAAATTTTTCTTACAAACTGAGCATTACTCATTATAAAAATTAATTTAAATCCGTTTTTTTTTCAAGCACCAATTCCAGTTTGCTCCTTAATCCAATCCAAGTAGCTGGTAAGGCGAGTGAATGCAGCTGGAATACCCAGCGCACAGCCATCCTTCGATCCGAATGAGGTTAAGCCAATTTGAACTTTCGTAGTTGCCAACACCAGTGGACCACCAGAATCACCATTACAAGTAGATACACCACCGGTTGTGGCGATGCAAATATTGCTAGCCGTAATGCTGGCAAAGCTCTTCTTGCACTGAGCATTAGAAATAACAGTCATAAAGGCATATTGCAATTTCGAGGAGACAGCTTTGTTTGTATCAGACGTGCGACCCCAGCCAGAAGCGATGACACTTTCACCGTCATAAGTGGAGTAAGTTGATGCGATTTCGGGTAGAGCAACAGGCTGGATGCTATCGTCGAAGGTTACGGTTGGAATGCGTATGAGAGAAATATCGTTTCTGGCAAGTAATCTACTCCATTTGGGGTGAATAATGATGTCACTTTGGCTAACTGTGAATTTCACTGTGGGTTTCGTGCGAACTGTGCTACCAAGTTGAACTGTTACGGAGGTAATGCTGTGAAAGAAATAAAAAAATGTATATATTTTTTATACTTATTGTATATATGTATTTCATATCTTCAAATTGTAAGCGGAGCTCACCCTTCAGTACAGTGAGCAGCAGTTAATACCCAGTTTTGGCCAATTAGTGAACCACCACACCATGTCGTACCCGCTGAAGATAGTAGTGACAAACCCACTTGATAGGGAAATTGCTTGGCTGCAGCGTCCTGTCCATTGGTAATACGTCCGTCGATCTCCTCATTCACCAAAGGCATGTAGAGCTCGCGCTGGTATATTTCCTTAATGCGCAGCTCGAAGGCCGAGACAACGCTTAAGGCGAAGGCCAAAACCACGAAGTATCTCATTTCGCTGCGATTAGTATAACGAAGTACTCTGGGGCAATACAGAGAATTTCAGTTTATATAGCGAAACCGAGACTTCACTCACCATCAATAAATCACATATCAGTTCAGTATGATTAGTAAAAAGCATAAATTATTTTGCTTGGGTTAATTTGAAAAGTAAATTAATGTCATTAATCAAATCACACACTTCAGTTGACTTCATTACTTAAGTTCGATTTATGATTATTGTGTACATGGGAAAATAATTTACTGGATTGGAAATTCTTACGTGGGTTTTTGTTACTATTGGGTATTTCGAAGCTTTTGCTAACCGCTTTTTGGCACTCTGTCAGTGTGATAGCCGTGAACAGCAAATCAAAATACAGACATTTTTAACTTTTATACTTCTTCTGAAAATCCACAGCCATAATGGATATGTGACACAACGAACAGTGTAGAAGCGGCATCATTTTCGGCTCCTCTTTGATTTTCAACATTGCTCAGCGCTTCCCACAGCGTCTGCGATGGGTGACTGCTTCAAGAGAGCGTATGATCGCATCCGTAAAGAGAGTAGAGTATAGCGGTTACGCTACTGAAACCGAAAAAAAACCGGCTGACATTTATCATAGCTTTAGCAGCGAGAACACTTTAGGCCTTGTGTACTCGAAATTTAGATATCATTTGAGCCCAATTGAGAGCCCATCAGTTTGGCTTCCCCAAAGCCCCCACAGAACTAGTATCAACCAAAGCCGTCTTGCGAATTAGTCCATTTGGTAAGACTGCACTTCTCTAAAAATTTCCACAATGCCTCTAGCTGGTGTAGAAGGCACGGTAGTTTAAAAAATAAAGCAACGGGTGCGGCAGATATTACTTTCTTGGTCACCTGTGGCTATTTTAACTCGCCAATGGCAACCCTGGTTCGAAAGAGAACTACTTTCTGCCCTCTCTCTGCCTTCTCTCTCTTCCTCTCTCTCTTTATCCCTCTCTCTCTTTATCCCTCTCTCTCTCCCTCCCTCCCTCTCTCTCTCTCTCTCTCTCTGATCCTTGCTGACGTTTTTACTGCGAAAATGCGAATGTTCACTCTGCGGACGAGCAAAACGCAGATAAACAGGTTACCGTCCCGTGTACCATAACGTCTTAATAACTTGTACATATACACCGAGATAACTATGATCTTAGTTGCGCAACATTATATTGTGCTATGCAAGCGGTATGTGATGGTGAACTACCGCAGAGACTAAAAGACCTTTATACTGCCGCAAGATGGTGTTCTTGGTCCATTATTGTACTTACTGTTCACTGCCGATATTTCTTCGAGTGATAAACTCGGCACAAATACCCTATTATAGCCACAAAAGCCTTCGAACAAATGGAAATGTAAACAAGTGCAAGCACATAACTTTTACATTAAAGCCAAAAACATGCACCACTGTACAGCTCAACAATGCATCGATTCCGCAAGCTGACGAAATTACATGCCTAGAGTCCACATAGGACAGGCGCTTAACCCGGATACGAAACATTTCCGCTAAAAAGCTGCAGCTTAAACTCAAATCTGCCGGTTTGCATTGGGTTTTGAACAAGAAGTCCGGACTTGGCCGAAGCAATAAAGTCCTTTTATATAAAGCAACAATAAAACCAACATGGATGTATTAAATTCAGTTATGGGCTGCAGCTTGGTAAATATAATTCAAAGGTTTTAATCGCAATGCCTAAGAGTAGTTTCGGACGAATGAAAAATTTTCGTAGCAGATTATTATACGAAATGTACAATTAAGTAATGATACTGATTATATTGACGGGATAAAATTTTCTTTCCCTTCTCCCGGCATCCTTCTCCTTTCCATTGATATATTTGGCATCGTTCTAGCTTGTTTAGTTCGCCGGCTGTGTCGTGTTGAGTAAACGTTTGTTCGTGGTACTCGTAACGAAAATGGAAAAGCGAAATCAGTAGTAACCCATCGCGATAAAATTTTGCGCGAAATTGTGGGAAACAGCTTCGGAAACATACGCTAAAATTGTAAAAGTGCTATTCAAAGAAACTCCTCTTATCGGAAACCCCTTTACTTAACTGGCGGTGTTATTGCAGAGGACACAGCTGGCACAGTACAGTACACATGCATGTAGTATGTTGCAGTCATTGACAGTTTTGATCAGTAAATTCAACTCGATTCTTCGGTAGTCTTATTCCGGTAATGATTTTTAAAGTAGGATTACAGATAAGCAAAGATCGGGCTAGGACGATTGCAGAATTATACAGATTTCTTGGAGTTATGCCAAGATGATTTGGATGTAATTTGCAGCCCCATTGTAACAGTCGATGAAACTAATTACGCTAATTTGTTGAGTCAGACGCGTGAGGTGGTCGTACAGAAGAGACGAGGCAAGTAAGCGCGCGGAGTGCACACCCGTTTACACCGCTCGGGTTGCGGGAAATGCCTTAAAATCTACTGGACTCGAAATAATTGATCACCCACCCTTCAATACGGACCTGGCTCCCTGTGAGTTTTTCCTTTTTTTTCAAGTTTAAAAAAGTAGTTAAGCGAACGAAGATTTTCAAACGTTAGCGAAATAATAGCGGCCGTAGAAAACTATTTTGAACTGAAATCTAAAAAATATTTTGCCATTGGCATAAAGCCATTGTATTCACGATGTGAAAACTGTATTTTAGTGGAGGGAGACTTTACTGAAAAATAAAAAATTTGCAGTGTAATTTTCTTTGTATTTTAAGATTGCCAATTTTATGAAAATCACTTGTTTGACGGAGCTGTCGATAAAATCTTTTCTGATCACACCATGAATAAAAGTAGCCACTGTTCTTTCACCCATGGGATGATCACGAAAAAATTCTATTGAAAATTATTCCTAGATTTCTGGCAGTATCTTTTGAGTTTGAAGGTATTCTTGTGTATTAGAATGCGACTAACAAGGGCTTAGAAGTGAACCATTAACGTAGGTCCACTTGCTAAAGTGATCTGAACTGGTAATGGAGTCATTAAAGCAATCATTGAAGAATTTAACTTTTTAAATTATAATTTAAAATTAATACTACACAGACATGTTGTTCAATATTGAATTTTTTTATTGTTTTACTAGTTTAATTGCACTTTCTGTATTCTTTTACATATTTTAGTTATTTACAACACCAGTATGTTGTTCGATCCAATCCAAGTAAGAGGTAATGCGGGTGAATACACCTGGCCAACCGATTTGACAGCCAAATAAAATACCGAAGGATGTGGCACCAACCAAAACAGTGTCCTCACCATCATTGTACACCAACGGGCCACCGGAATCACCGTTGCAAGTTGAAATGCCGCCAGTAGTCTTAATGCAAATATTTGATTGCTTAACCGAGCCAAGGAAGTATCTGTTGCAAGCTGTGTTAGCCAAAACCGGCACCTCAATCCAGCGCAGTTTGTCAGTAACCGTCTTAGCATCTATAAATAAAATGCAGAAAAAATTGTGGTATATTAAAGCAACAAACTGACATGAATTCAATACTCACCATCGCTTATTCTGCCCCAGCCAGAGGCAATCACTTGTTTGCCAACATAGGTATCGTATGAAGCAGCTTTTTTGGGTAAAGCAATTGGTTGAATATAATCTAAGGAATTTCAAAAGTATTCACGTGATTTTTAACAGCTTTTTCAGCATATTCAAGTAAATCCATACCGTTAAACTCTACAGCAAAAGGCAGTTTGATGAGTGAAATATCGTTAACAATTGCATCGCCATCATAGTCCTCGTGAAGGATAACGTTCTTAGTAGCAACGAATATGATATGTTGATTCGGTTCGGTAGCATCGGTGCGATCCCAGGCACCTAAATATACATCAACACCAGTGGTCCTTGTGAAAGAATGATATTCATAACAATGCCAACAAAATAATAAATTATTTAAGTTTTCTTACAAATTAACAGTGCAATGGGCAGCGGTCAAAATCCAACGATCGGAAATCACACTGCCTCCACACCAGGAAGCACCAAGAGGAGTGTACAATCTTAAGCCAGCTTGGTAGGGAAATTGCTTCGGAACAGCCACTTGACCGTTAGTTATGCGTCCTTCAACTCCATTTAGCGAAGATCGTGGATGGAAGGGCACTTGCGGTTCCACGTCTCGAGGCTTCACCTCAGCCCAATCTATTTCATTGCCAGTAGCAGCAACACAACCGAAAAGGCAAACTGCGAAAACAACGAGTAGCTTCATTTTTGAGGTTCAACTAATTTTCAAAGTATGAATTCAACTGTTTACATCCATTGTTTATATACTTCCTGACGCACCGGTAATGGTCGTAAAGAAAGTCGATAAGATAATCATTGATTTATACAGCTCAAGATGCTGTAAATCAACTGTAGTGGGCCTTAAATCACTTGATTAGTCTTCGTATGGCGCTCGCCGATTTTGGGCTCTAAAGTGCCGAAAGACATTAAATAAAGGTAATGGTTATCTATAAACCAATAGCTGTGGGCTGCTTTTTAGACGGGTGGGTAGCAGTGGGTGCTACTATGCTGCTGCCGTAATGAGTTCGGCCTTGAACGATTTTCTAATTATGTGAGATCATTTAGAACCGGTTTAAAAGTATTACAGTTGCCGTAATACGAGGTGTGCTCAAAAAGTATCGCGAATTGTGAATTTTCACGGGTTACGTATAAGCGAATTTCGACTTTTTGTGGCGTTATGTTGGTACTCATGTCTGTTACTTATGCCGACGAGCTCGGACATTTTGAATGTTCACTTAATTGTTGACAGCTGCTTTGCTTGCACGTGCTTTGGATGGTCTTCGATTTTTACCATTCCGAATTCATTTCGAATGCATTCCGAATGTTGACTGTGGCATACGCAGAAACTACCTTGTACCGAAGCAACGTTTATCGATGGTACAAAATGTTCTCAGAAGGCCGAGAAGAAGTGAACGACGAAGAGCGTGCTGAACGCCCGAGCACTTCAACAACAGACAAAAAAATTTATTGCAGGGGCGTGGTGCATCATGAGTTCTTGCCACCGAAAAGAACGGTCAATAAGGAATATTACCTGCAAGTTATGCGCAATTTGCGCGAAGCAATCCGCCAGAAACGACCGGATTTGTGGAAGAAAAAAAATTGGCTTTTGCACCACGATAAAGCTATTGCTCACACATCGTTGCTTGTGCACGACTTTTTGGCCAAAAACAACACACTAATGATGCCGCAGCTATCGTATTCCCCAGATCTGGTCCCCTGTGACTTTCTCTTGTTCCCTAAACTGAAGAGGCCCATGAAAGGACGACGTTACGCTACAATTGACGAGATAAAGACGGCATTGAAGGAGGAGCTGAACGAGATAAGTGCTTCGAAGATTGGAGAAACCGTTGGCACAAGTGTATAATATCTCATGGGAATTACTTTGAAGGGGACAAAATAGATATTCATGAATAAATAAATAATTTTTGAAAAAACACAAAATTCGCGATATATTTTGTACACACCTCGTAAAAACCCCAACCACAAAATTTCCTTAATTAAGGGCTTTCCCAGCTTCGGAGGTATTCCGGTAAATTATCGCTACTGGATGTTATATTGCTAAAGTAAGAAAAGTAAATTTTGCTGCCAAAAAGAGCGCAGGGCAGGGTAATAATACAATATTCTTGTACGCTAAACTCTTCGTAATTAAGTAGTAATAAATTTTATGCTCTACAGCAGTCATCATTAATAGCAGTAAAGTTACTACAGTATTTTATATAATTTTATTTTTATTTATTTTTTTTTTTTTTTGATGTATCAGTGAAATATTATATTCTTCATCAGCGGGTTTGCGGTTAAAAGAAAATCACATTTCGCATCCATTGTGATTGTTTCGGCCGAACAATCAAGTTAAAGTGAATTTCGTGATCGAAATATTAGTGAAATGAAAATATCCAACGCCTTTGAAAGTTTAAATTCTTTTTATTAAATATTTCTTTTACCGTTTTTTTTTTTGTGGCTGTACAAATCATAGTATGTCAGGTATGCAATGGTGATATTAGTTATAATATTTTTAAAAAAAATTTACATTTTTTAGCTAGTGGGATCCCCAAGGAATATCAAATTGCACGATTACCGATGTTCCTGTATATATTTTGTTTACAATTCGACTTGAAGTTCTCTTGAAATTTTGCATATAAATTTCACTTAAAATACGTGAAATCCAGTGTGCTGGCTTATACGCGAGCCGGTGGCATTTCACTTTTAAGTTTGAGAAAAGCTGTACTTATGCACACCCATACTCATTAAGACCTAACTTCATACCTTGAATTATAACCTCAATTTTCGGTAAAATAATTTATTAGAGTCGACTTCGGTATAGCAAATATTTTGACACAAACTACTAGTACTTAGTTGGAGTTACTTTGCTCGAAATAAAGTTAAAAAAAAAACTAAAAATAAAATTAATACTAATTTATCTTATTTTGCCTTATATAAGATTCCGAATAAAAGATGCCAACTTATTATATCAAGACCACCACCCCATTTAGTCAATTGACACCTATCTACCTATCATCTATTGGACCAACGACCTACCGCGCTGGACAACTGTGAATATGTAAGTAATTTATTTCTGATTTTTACTTCATTTATCTATTAAATTAATAATTTTGCGTCTTTAATTAAATTAAACACCTACAATACATAAAAATATATATTTATGCGTGCTAAATTTTTTTTATAAAAAACGCTTAAACATTTTACTGTCAGATTTTGCCTCAATATTCCGGTTAATGATAGTTGCCGCTACTGCCCTTGGCGGGGTTCATTCGATTAAATTTATATGCGCAACAACACAACTTCGGCTTTCTGACTCTTTATGGTTGCAATGGCGACTTAATTTCGTGTTCGAAATCGGCTCTCCACTAAATATAGTCCAACCGAGTCAAATCGCAGCTGCGAAGGCAAAGATGACTAGATATGAAACTCTTTATTTCGTGAGAGCGCTCAAAAATCCACATTTTTTATAACATTTCTGAACAGTGCGACGGTTATAGAAAAATGACTTCTTTGGATTTTTAGGCATATTTTGGGTATTTTATTGCAAGCCACGACGTCTGTAATACAAATTTCAATAAAAATGGTTCATTGAGAAACAATCAAATATTTAAACATATTAAGTTTTAATAATAAAATTACAATAATTTCCATAATATTTACCTGCTGAAGCAAATTTCCTTTGAAACAAAAGCAATGGATTTTTTTATTGACATAATGGTAATGGTGCAATTAGTTAAATGTTCCCCGATCTGACACTGGTGCCAACATTAGAATGTGATAAAGGGGAACGCTCTCAGCTGCAATTTGAGTGAATTTTAGTAAGTTGCACATCTAGTCATCTTTCGCATCTAGTTATCGCTTAATTAGGATGAGGTTACCTGTAGATACTTCTGTCGTCTATTATCGAAATTTTCCGTTTTTGTGACGCCCTTCACGTTCACAGAGATACACTTTTTCAAGAATTTTTTTTGACATTTGTTTCTTTCTCATTCTTTCTGTTCTTCTTTCTTCTGCCTTTTGTTCGACTCGCGCTTCTTAATATTTCTAAAATAAAAATTATTAATCTATTTCTTGCATTCGATTTAACAACTCACTTGGATAAGATACATAGAGGCAAAGATAATACACATGAAATTAAAAGCAGCTAAATTGGCTTTTAAATAAAAACTCCGGTCTCAAACTAGACTACAAAGTCCTTATTTACAACGCAGTATTAAAACCAATTTGGATGTATGTTATTCAACTGTGGGGTACGACCTGTGCAACTAATATTGATAAAATACAGAGGTTTCAGTACAAAATTTTAAGACCACTAACTAGCGCTCCATTGCACGTTCGTAACGTTAACATTTATTAAGACCTTGGTGTTTTACTGGTTAAGCCTGAAATTGAAAGAAGCAAGACGAAGTACTTCAAAAAGCTGAGAAATCATCCTTATCTGCTAGCTAATGCTTTATGCAACTCATCGCGAAATTCCCGACTGCAGCGAAAAGATGCTCCCTCCTTCTAAGGACTGTTAGGCTTATTTTAAAGCAGATCCAGTAAATAAATGAATTGCGTAAAATAAAAAAAGATTAAACAACAACTCGACTCTATAATTTCGAATGTTTAATCTAATTACAAATTTCATCCTTTTCACGATTATCATAGTCAATCTCAGCGGTATCCTCAATACACTCTAATATTTCTTGCATTAATTTAGCTTCATTTGCAAACTCCATTATTTGAAATATTTATTAATAATTAGATACATATACATATAGGCATATATGTATACATTCACATAGTACTTATACTCGTACATAAGTAAATATTGTAGTAAAAACCCAAATTTCGATTTCCAAATTCGCTGCTTTGACAGCTACAGTCAGTTCAAAATGAGAAACAAAATAAAAGGGAATGTCAAAATTTACAGCGACGAATAGAAACACAAAAGATGTCGAACGAGCACAGCAACACTGCACAGCGCTGCCCCCTTCGTCGTCGCACCTACCCTTCAAACGAGTGCTTCATCGACCAAAAGTATCCCCGTGTAAACTCAGACTTATAGGATTTTCGAAAACAATGCGCAAACGATCGACTGTAACGTTGGCTGTGTAGCACATAGCGCCATCCTGCTGAAACCACACATTGTCCATATTATTCTATTCCTCATGTGCAAACTCGGAAACACGCTGTGCGTAGCAGGGTAACGATCGACATTGGTAGCAAATGATCGATGTCCTACCTGAGATATTATCATTTAGGGAATTTCTGTATCCTCCACCAAAGTATCCACCTTAAAACTGTTTAACCGGTTTTACATTTCACCAGTCACATCGTATTCTGTTTTGATATACTAACTAATACACAGGGTTATCCATTTTGCGGTTCGAAAATAACGGTTAACATAATGCGCCGAATCTATAATGACGGTCTCAAAGAAGTAACGCCATCAAGAGAGGACGGTAACCGAGTGGTTAGCAGTGCGTACTGCCATTCGGGAGGTTTGAGGTCAAGTGCGGTGTCGTATTAACATCCAGCGAGGCCAGTGAGAGAAAGAAACGGGAGGTTGAACTATAGCCAAACAACGAAATTTTCAATTGAACTGATTAACAAAAATTTAAAGCAGTGAGAGTGCCACAGAAGCACGCTCTTGAATTCTAGCCGAACAATGGAAAAAATTCTAATTTTTGTTCCACGTCCAACAAGGGAAGTCATCCACTCCTTATAAAACTCCATCAGTTATGCCGCGATGGCTTAGAAAAATAACTTCTAGCCTTCATTTGATGAAAAATGTC